GAGACAGCGAAATCTGTGAAGGATAAAGTCCAAAGCCCAACACCCATGCTGTCTTTGAGACCCTGTCTTGTAAAAATAATCATGTTGAGACAGTTGGTCAAGACGCCTGCAAGTGAGATTATCCCGTGCACTACCGCACTCAACGACAGCATCAGAATTTTTCGCAGTGAATCCGATATCAGTACCTCACGGGTCTCAGCTATCCATTGGTTTAGATCCTCTTCATATTGTGCTGAATCCGTTACTGGCATTTTAACTGTCTGTATAAGCTAAAGAATTGTTCGACTTGGACGCGGATTAATATTTTGTATCCTGTAAAACACAAAACAACAAACTATCAAATTACTCAAAATTGTAGCTTTGATAACAATGCAAAATTAATGATTAATTATTTAATTATTTAAATTATAATTTGTTTTAGTCAGTAAAAATAAGATAGTGCTCTTTCATCCCCCAAGCGTTGCCAATCGAAAAGTTCAGACAAAAATTAATATGCAACCCATGTTTTATTCTAAATTAACAGTAAAAAATGAATGCAAAATTGAATTTAAGTTTTTAATATTTTCCTTTCTTTCGCGTGGTTTGAATAAAGGATTTCTTTCGTATTAAATGTACCAATGTATATTTACTTCAATCAAGCGATTTCTTTATATATATATATATATATATATATATATATATATATATATATATATATATATATATATATATATATATATATATATATATATCTTCAAATAAATATTAACTATTATTACACTATTAAAAAAATTAAATAAATATACATGAAAATTTATTCATGTCCTTCAATTTGTCGAGGAATTCAAAAATTAGTTTTTTTTTGTTTTACTATTTAACACAAAATTGTTGAAATATTTTTAAAAAGTGTATTAAAAACGAGCTTTCTTAAAACAAATCGTTCGTTTTTCAAAAATATAAACGAATTTTACAAAATAATAAACAAAAAAAATAATCTAGAAAGTTAACCAAAGTAATAATGTTTCAGTGCTAATTCAATTTAAACTCTATTTTTAAATTCAGTTACAATGATGTAAGGTGCAGTTGCGGAACTAGAAAAAATGGGCAACCCCGCAAAAAAACATTTTGGGCCCCCCATATATATATATATATATATATATATATATATATATATATATATATATATATATATATATATATATATATATATATATATATATATATATATATATATATATACAAACACACAATACGAACATAGGATACTCATTTCTGGCCTGATCGGGTTTTGAAAAAAAAAATTCAATTAAACCCAATCACAACAACATGTCATGTGTGTGAGTGCATTGGTCTGTTTTGAAAATCTCTGTTTTCATTTATGTTTGCCTTAATACTTCTAATCATTAAGTTGGTCAAAAGTATATAAATCATGAAGCTTCGTATAAGTAATGGTGTCTCGTGTTATGTTTATTTTTATGTTTTTTTTTGTATTTATTTTATTAATTTTAACTACATTTCATTTTTATACTATATCATTCTTTAGTACTTTTTTTTTTAAATAATAATAAAGATAAGTAATTGCTGTTTAATTTGATTATTACAAATCTATTAAAAGGAGCTTATGAGCACCCCTATTTGACTATTTGAAAAAGGGAAATAATTTATGGAAGTGGTTTGAACGTTTGCCTATCTTTCACACTACAGCTCATGTGTATTTTTTTTTTTTAAATTTTTATGCAACAGCATGTCTCAGCTACTATATAACATCACTACAGTATTAGAGCTGTTATCTGTTTGTTATTTACAAAACCACTATCAAGGTGCCAGTGACGAAACTAATATATATATATATATATATATATATATATATATATATATATATATATATATATATATATATATATATATATATATATATATATATATATATATATATATATATATATATATATATATATATATATATATATATATATATATATATATATATATATATATATATATATATATAACACGCTCTCATTCGTGTATTTATTTGAGACGTTTGCCTTGTTTTCTAGATCAGTGGTTATTAAACGTAAACAATGTCGGCACTTTATTTTTTTTTTTGGATATTAGTTGTTGGAGCGCTACTTTGTCTACACTACCACCGATACGAGCCAGCTTAGTTGTAGAGGCGCTATCTATTCGCTTCTTGTAAGGCTAAGAGCAGGAGGGGAGGTCTGAGAAAGGAACTTAAAAGCGACAACAAAGCACCGATGTGCTTTTTTATCCATCAGTACCAAATTTGGGATGGTCTCAAAAACCGTCTTAATGTCTAGCGGCCTCTCGCGCAATTGACGTTTTTCAAAAGAATTTTGCCGACAACAGCGTGTGTTTGATTGTAGGAAAAAGAATATACATGAGCGTGGGATGATGTCTATAGAATAAAGATACTCCAACCGCAGCTACAGTATTCTTTTTTTCAAAACAACCATCCGGTCAAAAATGCAAGAAAATTAATTTTAACTATAAAAAAATTATTATGGGGGGCTGTGGGCCCCCTAAACGGCGTGGGCCCCCCCCCCCCCGCATTGCAGGGTCTGGCGGCACTGTAGTTCCGCCCCTGGTAAGGTGATGTACTTCTGTTGACGTTTCAATGACAAAAAAAAACTAAATAAAAATACTTTTATTCTAAACTTATAGACAGAAATAAGATATTTATTGGTATGTTCAAACAGCATAGCAAATTATTATCAAATTAATCCAAAACTTCTGTCATGTTTAACTATAAATTAAACTATATTATTTTGTTCAAAGAGGCACACCTTTAATTAAAACGCCATACATATTTTAATTAGATCCAACGACACATTACAAGTAAATCAATGTAGTAATTTAGGTTTAGACAAAGCGACGTATTACTTTACGAATTTCGAGTAATTGGTGTATGAATTTACTTACCTATTGCGCTTTCATCTCAGTCATTGCCCTTTAAAAACAAAAATAATTACAATGCGGCGGCACACATACTGAAATTAAATTAACGATCAGCTCATTAAAATTTAGAAAACAAAAATTCTAACTCTGCTGTCAACATTGTAGTGTGATTATGTATGTGTGTGTTTCTGACTGTGTATGTGTGAGTTGTTTTTTTTTTAATTTACAATGACCTGGTTTTATCAATTTCGAAATCTCCAGATATGCCTACTTTTCACATAAGCAGGTTTGCGGTTAAGTCGAGCGTTGTTTTTCATTAATTTAACTGTAGACTGTAATCCAAAGACGGATTATTAACTTATAAGCTAAATAAGTTGTAGCGTAGGACTCTTACTTTAATGGGGGCTACCCATTTTTTTTATTTTGCTAAATTAGCAATAGTCATGTATACTAAAATATAATGCACCATTATTTATCTGAATGAAAATATGTAGGACACTGAACAGCGTTAGTAATATAAATATAACATATGGGCTAATTGTGGGGTCCCTTTTCCTTTCAAATTTAAAGTGTAAAGCCCGTCCTGGTTTTCCCTATTATAACCTAACACGTGTTGTAGCGTCTTTCTTAGTTTAGGTACCGTTTTGTCGGTGCTTGCTATATAATCAAGTTTGTTTCAAACTAATTCAGATCAAATCGTTTTTGACGCCAAAAGTCATGATGTAATATTTTTTTTTATTCCATTGGTTATGATTCTCAACTTAACATATACCCCAAGTCATGTGAGAAATGTAGTATATATATATATATATATATATATATATATATATATATATATATATATATATATATATATATATATATATATATATTTATATATATATATATATGGTAAGTAAACATTTAGGCTGCATTTCCATGTAGATGTGATACTTTATTAAAATACTTATTATTAATTGTGCATTTAAGATGCAAATAATCGTCTTTCAAATGAATCTTTTATTTAAATTCTACAGTAAATTTACAGTATATTTGTTATATATTGAATCTAACAAAACTTGACTACATATTTATTATTCTGAAGAAATATATTTTGTCATAGTTTAATACAATAAAATTGAAAAAAAAACTGTGCACAAGCAAACATAGATACACATAAAATATAGCAAATATAAAATTTATTTTGTGCATTAGTCAATGATTAGTGTGTAATTAAGAAAGCAATGTACAAAACGAAAGAGAGTTGTGTGAAACACACAGACTTCATCTATAAAAATTCATAAAAGAAAAAAAAAACATTAAGGTAAAATTATAAATCTGTACTAAAGGGTTAGGCGTAAACAGTAATGAATTGTACATTGTATTACATTTAATTAAGAAAATATAAACTTACCAATTTGAACCTGACGGTCTATGGGGCAGATGAAGTAAAGATTACCTGTAAGAATACTCAAGGGCCCACCTGGTCAGTTAAACGCCCAGATTTTTTATATTTTCCTAAACGTGAGTCAGGTACCATATACAGCAAGGTCAACTCGTTGACGTCTTACGGACTCCAGCAAGGTAAAGACGGCAAAGTTTGTATAGTTCTTATTTTCAATGCATTTGTCATGATAAAGGTTTTTATTTTTTATTTATAAAGAAAACAAAATATGATAGAATGGCTGGTTTTACCGAAAAGGCTTTGGATAAAGATTTATTGCAGAGCCCCAACAGTCGTAGGTACCCTTTAAATTTTTTGTAGACACAGAGATACAATGCTTTTAAACCTCTGACAATAAGTTTGAAAAGTGCTGAAACTTTCTATAGATGAGGATGTATCTTAACATAAACATAATAAATTGTTTGAAAAATCTCACAACATGAAATAATGGTAATGTTACGGGTCACTTGTAGGTTAGATAAAAATAGGTTAGAATAATCTAGAATTAGGGGAGAGTGCGTGTGTGAGTTGAGTTTACCATAGAATATTGTTAACCCCGGTGTGTTTGTGTATTGTTGTCCCAAGGTATAAAAGCTGGAGTGAATGATTGCCAGGGGTTAGTTGCTAGCGATTAGGACGAGGGCTATTTTTGAATGTATATATTTGAGACGGAATAAAAGTAGTGAACGTAGTCACGAAGCGTTGTTGTTTATCTGAAAATAACCAGAACGTAACAGGTATGATTGTAAATTCGTATGGCAGTCTACACTACATTTCTCTACTTTTACATAATACAAAAACCGAAATATAGAAATTACAGTGGATGATACGACTTCATATGGTTGAAGTAATCCACCCTGTTTTCAAAAAACGTTTTACAAAATGTGCACAATGACTTCCTCTTGTGAATCGTCCTAAGGTGTAAATCCAATGTACGACGATCATGGAACTGCCTGCTGCACTGTCTACATTTCAACTGTGTTCCAGTTCCTGGATTTGTATCTGTTGTTACGTTGGTTGCGCCACTGTATCTCGTTTCTTTTGTCATTCGATCAGGGTATGTCGTAGCCTGCCTTTTCATCACTGGAGACGGTCTATTATCTTGTACTCTAACTATTCTGTTCGGAGTCTGAACCGGTTTTCTCTGGAAGGAAATTGTATCGTTATTAAAAATTAAATAACATCATTGGGATATTGTCTTTAAAAATGAATAAACTTTGTATGTCTATATATTCTGGACCAGTGGTTTAAACCGCGGTTGGATCCCAAGGATTCGGTGAGTCAGTCTCCGGTGTTCGGTTTAGATCAAGACAAACACCCGACTCATATGATTCACAATCGTATATTGTCAGTGCAGACGATAGAACTTTTGAGGAACATTCGGAAAATGCGCCTATGAAACTAATGGCGCACGGTACATCCTAAAAGAACACGAACCACAGATCTAGACCAATTTCAGTGACAACCGCAAACTTTTAAAACTTTTTTTAACAACAAAACTTACTTACATTCGAAATAGCTTTAGATTAAAGATACCTATTATTTCAAGTCAAACTGTATTTATCGTGGGTCTATGGCATTAGCCCAGGTCAATTATCTCATTGTTCATTAATCTCATCGCCATTACGTCCACCCCATAATATTTTACCTGGAGCTCAAGATGAGATTCACGGCATTCTGTAGAATGTCTATGGTGGATTGACAGTGTCAAATAAATTAAAGACATGTTATTAAATAACTTTAAGAGTGGTAGGAAAAAAATTATAGATGAAAACGATCTCAGACGAATTACTCAAGAAGAAATTACCTCAAGACCAAATATCTCAGAAGAAATTATCTCAAATTGATCTCACGGACAAAAGATATAAAGACCTCAGCTCAGAGAAGTTTTAACTTCTTTGCGAAAACTGTTTAGTCTGCTCTAAATTTTAAACTACTTATCAGATGATTTAATTTAATCTATCTTTACTGCCATTTTATTAAATATAATTACCACAGATAATGTATTTAATTATAATATCCCTTAGATATCATCACTCTACAAATACCAAATAATATTTCAGATAATTTAATCTATTTTTAAAGCCATTTTATTTCCATTAATTACCACAGATAAGGTATTTGTTTATAATGTCCTTTAATTACCTGTATCTCTCTTTCCTATAATCACCACAGATAATGTATTTATTTATATTGTCCCTTACTTACCTGAATCTCTCTATAGGTTTTAGTTAGCTTGTCCCTCTCCTCCGCTGATAGTTTAAATTGTTCGTTAGTGTAGCGTCCGTTGCTTTTTTCCAATTCAAAGGCAATGTGCATCAGTTTTCTAACGGATTCATCTCTTTTCTTCTCCATTTCTGGAGATTTTCCCAAGTTGTGAAACAGCACAGCACGATCTTGACATTCCTTAAAAAGCCTCCCTAAATCATCTTTCTGTTGACTGCGCCAAGATCGAAACGAGTGCGGCTGATCCGCTTCAGTTTGTTCCAAGTCAAAACTTTCTCCGTTCGTCAGGATAACGATGCAATGATCTTTTATGATATTTTTCCCAAAGATACATCTCAAAATATTCAATGTTTTTGCTTGATCTTCAGTAAAACCTTCGCCGTATTTCAGTACTAAAATAAAGGCATGAAACCCTTCAGGACATTCTCCCATTACATTAGGTAAGACTTGGGTTATAGTTTTCACATTTTGTGACTCGTCCGTATCCATTAGTCCAGGCGTGTCTATAATTTGTATGCTGACGTCACATTGTTGCCCGTTTGATACAGTGAATGTATTCGAAGGGGTAAAAACTTTCCGAGCCAGGATTGAGTTTCCCGTGCTGCTTTTTCCAACAGCTTTTTTGCCAACTAAAAGGAAGTTTAACTTTTTATCGAAAGACGGCCTTCTACATTGTACCTGCTGTGAAGAGAAAAAAAATTTATATACATATGTACAAATACTAGAATATCTATACTTAGATTTTTTTAATGTAATAGTACTTTAGCTTCAGAGAAAAACAGAACAAAAGGCAAATCGAAACATAACCAAAAGAACAGGAAAAACCCAACTAACAGAAAAATTGACAGAAAAATTAAAACTGTCATGACTTAAATAGGAAAAAACAAAGAGTAAACAGCAGAACAGGAAAAAAACGATTTGATCAGAAATGAAGAACACGTAAGGGCGCCGGGTGCTTCATGTAATGACGAGTACCACCGTGTCCCAATTGTATGGTACTTATTAAAAGGAATGTAGGCGTCATGGTGTTGAAAGAGGAGACCAGGTTTAACCGGGTCAATCGACCACCGGGGTGTCCCTGATTTGATTTAGTGAACGATTGTAATAGTGTGTGTATGCGTGTGTGCGTGTTTTTGTAAATGTGCGTGTGTACCAACGTGCATACGTATGTGGGTCAATTTAAACACAATAAAGACCAACCGTTACAGAAGTCCTTCTCTGTAATTTCTCTTTGGCAAGATTTTCCGTTGGTTCTTTACCAGGTGACGTAAGATGAGCATTCTTATTTTCTACCGGCGGACTGTGCAGTGATCGACGACGTAGAGCGTCGAAACTATTGGAAACCTCAAAATTGTTATCTTGCTTTTGAAACAGTTTTTGACTATTTTGAGAATCTCTTCTGTGGAACGAACTGGCCATGATTTTACTAGCGGGCAATTTTCTTTCGCCATCTCGTTCTGGTGTTCTTTCTACACGTAGATCGTTAACAGATATGCCGAGACTTCTTTGTATATATCTCCCCGGGAGATGTAAAACCATTTGTAAAAGCTGATGGATACTTTCTTTCTGTTTTCTAATGTACTCATCTGCTCTAAGAATTTTATTATAAAACAGAACCGTTCTATAATGGCAAGCTTTGAACAACTGAACTAATTCTACCGGGTCCGTTTGCTGTTTGCACCACTTATCAAAAGATAAACTTTCTTCCTGCAACTCAAAATGGACCCCATGTGTCATTACGATGATACAGTTTTGAATCAGATGTTTCCCAAAACATTCTCTAATAGTTGAAATCGTCTTTCGTTTCTTAGCTGTCCATTTTTCTTTAAATTTGATGACAATGACAAATGCATTAACACCCTCTTTACAAATTCTCATAGCTCCGTTTAAATTAGACATTGTGATGCTTTGAGCATCAGTGTCTTTAATACCGGGCGTGTCCACGATATTTATTGACCCATGGTCCCACTGTTTACTCTCAACGTGTATCTCTTTAGTGCCAGACTTCTCGGCAGAAACAGGCCTCAACTTTTGATATCCCAGAATAGTATCGCCCGTTGAGCTCTTCCCTTCTCCGGTCATTCCAATGAGTACAATGTTAAGTGGGTCAATATCTGACTGGCCTTGTGATGTGGTCATTTTCCTAAAGATGGATTGGATTGAACATAATGTAAAAATAATGAAAATAGTAAAAATCAATAAATGTGAATATTGTAATAATAAAATTGACAGCGTATATGAAAAACAAATAGTTCAACAAAAACACATTGTTCAAAGCAATTTATTATCATTTCATACTTTTGATATTTCAAAAAGATTGGCAACTGCGATTTTTACTATGCCCTTTTTGAGGAGTGCACAAACGCTGGCTCCAACAATCAAATTGTGCTAAACGTTTAGTTTACAATGCAAATATTTAAAGAAAAGGATTGAAAAGCTTGTTCCAAATGGTTCCAAACGTTTGTTGCCTTAAAGCATATTTTCCAACCAAAATTGTTTATAACATTTGTGAAATAAACACAAAATGACTTCCGGTTTTACTAAGGCTAGTAATATTCAAACAAATAATGACAAGTAATGTAATAGTAATTTATCTAACATTTGTATTTTAATTTTTATTAGTAGATTATATTTTAATTGATACAATTATTCAAAGTGGATTTTTGACGGCTTATATTTAATACAAAAATATGAAAATGAGTTAAAATATATAGTTCGCTATCAGCTTTAATTACAAATGTAACAACAATGTTAACACTTGCCATAATTTTAAAAAGATTTGTTTTCAATTAAGTTTGATTACATAGACATTTTATACGTATTGCAAAAATGTCTGGTATTTTATTGAAATCATCCCATAAACTAAATGTTGTAATATATATATATATATATATATATATATATATATATATATATATATATATATATATATATATATATATATACATATATAAAATATAAATAGTAAACGAGTTTTGGTTAAACTCAATTATACCATACTTATTTGGGTTTAGATTTAAATTAGCGAACTTGCTACAAATATATTGTAAACATACGACTAGGGCTTAGTGTTTATTAGCGCACTGTCGATAGACAAGCAAAATACAAATACACCTACACCCCAAGTGCCTCCACACGCTATTTAAAATTTCTTCACACTTTCCCGAAACTGGGCCTTCGCCCGAAGCCCCATTTCCTGTCCCAGATACACAACCAACACCCGGCACGTCTTAAAGCACAAACACATTCCTTGTTACCAGTGTTTCTTACACACATTTTTCTCCGGGAGGGGGGCGGGGCATTTGAAACTTTGGAGGGGTCGAAATTTTCACGCGTGGCAAATGTAAAAGTTTATTTTCTTTAAAATTCCATTCATTTCGGCGGGACGGTAGACGTGCTCTGGGGTGGGGTGGTAGTGGAGGGGGGGGGGGGAATTGACTTTCTACTTTCTCGTTGTATAATGTTAGAAGGAAAGTATAGACTAAGTCTGTCTAGCCCGGGCAATTCAAAACCTTTCGCAGAACATCATTAAAAAATGTATACAACTACTTTATTTTTATAGAAACCATTATAAAGGTTCATGTTTTTTTTTAATTCTCCATACCGCTTGATGTTCTTTACAGCTTTATAGTAGTGAATTTTTAATGCTGCTCTATTGAGATAACACGTTTTATTTTTTCGTACACAGTCATATAAAACTAACTAAAAGAATAATTTAAAATTTGACAACACTTACAAAGATGTTTCTGTTTATCAAATCCTCTCTTTGTACCACGTTACGCCACCAATGTCTTTTCAATTCAAAATAATAATAGAGGAAATACAGCAACAACGCCGACCAACCCGATCCTAGAAATAACCAACGCCGTCTGTCCCGTGATGACCTTGTATGGCTGGTATCAAAAATGAAACTGAAAGGCTTTTTTTCCTTGAACGCTTCTCGGCACATTTTAAAGACGCATAGTTTAAATGCCAACACTGAAACTGATAATTTGTGTTTATAAGAATAATTTATGAAAAGTTTTAAAGACTCGCAGTTTAAACGCCAACACTGAAACTGATAATTTGTGTTTATAAGAATAATTTATAAAGTTTTAAAGACGCACTGTTTAAACGCCAACACTGAAACTGATAATTTGTGTTTATAAGAGTAATTTATGAAGTTTTAAAGACTCACAGTTTCAATGCCATATTGCCAACACTGAAACTGATAATTTGTTTTTATAAGAATATTTATTAAGTTATTAAGTAAACACAGTTTTATTAGAAAACGTTTAATTTGATACATTAGAAATTAAAACTTTCATTATTAAGATAAACACTGCGCATGGTTTATTTTGTAAATATCATAATGTCAATTCAGCTTTGTCAATTGGCATGTTCCAATCATACAGCTGATTGCAATTATTACTAAATTTTAAACTTATTATAATTTAGCTTGGTAGTGATCAAGATGCTGGTAAAATGATTATTTTACCTCGACATATGAAGAGCCCAATGGCAAAATGACTTAAACACATTCTAGATCGTTTTCTAAAAAGCACAATTTAATTCAAATACAAATGTGCATGTACTGATATTAAAAATGTATTTCCCAAACGTTACAAAAAAAACTTCTTCACTGTGTAATATTGTTTTTAAATTCATGTTTGTTTTAAATTTACTAATTATTATTAATAATTATCACTCGCAATTAAATACGTTTAAAAGTGGGATATGCATTTAACCACCTTTGACCAAGGATATTTTAAATCAATAAAATATAAACTTTTTTTTAACATTCATTTTTAGATCTGGAAGATTTCGTTTAATGAAAATGTTATTTTATCATTACTAAATTGTAACTGCTTCGTTTATTTTTTTTTCTTTAGTTTTCTTAACAGTGGGGCATTTTGGCTCAAATTCCTATTTCTTTAAACGTATCATTCCGGGTGTGTATTTGTGTTTTTAAAAAACGTGTAGATTTAGTATCACGGTCGTGCTATCTGGAAATTAATGATTGGATGCTTCTGATACTTAGATTAGATATCATTGGTCAATACACACTAAACACCTTTTTCAATTAAAATTCAATTTCGTTTAAGCTTTTTGCAAAAGTATGGAAAATAGATTGTTCATTTTACAGCACTTAGACCCTTTAGTTGGTGATAAAATTTAGCGAATAGCTAAAACTGGTTATGATGAATTTTAAATTGGGCGTAAAACGGCTTCTTGACCGAGGGCAGGATGTCGATCCAAAAACTTGGGTAGAATAGACCCGTTCACTAAAACACTATGTATGAATAAACGTGTGTGTGTGTGCTAGATTTGGTGTGCTCGGTACATGATCTGTAATCAGTCTTGCGTGACCAGGTGTTGTACACCACATCCGTTGACTATTCATCGAGGCCATGAATACCCGGCAAAATCTGGGCCATTTACGTCATACGTCAAGCGTTTAATGAATAGCGAGGCGTGTAGGCTTTCAAGGACGATGGGTATTAAAGGTGGAAATGGAATGGGGGGGGGGGGAACAGTAATAAAAAAATACCTTGCGAGGCTTCGCGAGGAAAAAAAATTAAAATTCGAGAACGACAATTTTCCTGTAAACAAAATTATATACCAACAGTTCCTTAATCCAAGCTTTACGTGAATAGTTTTTTCATGTTTGTTTAATTTTATTTTAAGGCGCATCTTTTTTAACCGATGGCGTTTTGTGCATGATACTAAATATGTGAATAGCTTTTGATGCATAGTTTTACTTCCAAGTTTAAACTCAATGGTTTTATGCGATGAATTAAAAGTGCATGGCATGATGTTAAAGAATCTTAAACAGTCTTTATTTTGCAGCGTATCGGGTATTTAATGTATTGAACAGTCATACTTGCCGTCAGTTAAACCCAAGGAGCATTCACCTCCTGTCAATTACTCCCCCACCCTCGGGACATTACCACCCACCCCCCCCCCCCACCCCCCGCCTAAAAAACCTCAGAAGGGGTGTGGGATGTCCAAGGGAAGGGGGTAATGCCTTGCTCCTTCCTCAGAACATTCTTCACCCACAAACTTTACCCCCCCCCCCCCCCCTTTCCCAAATGAATTAATCCCCAGTCAACTACTGTGAGTAATAAAGCATATAAAAATCCATTATAATAAGCTATTTAATGCCCTGAAAATAAGAAAATAAAACATACTTGCGTTCTACAATGAAAGCTTCGTAAGCTCATGAGAACTCGTATATTTATAGGAACCAAAGTTTTTAATACAGAAAGCAAGTTTATTCTGTTTTCTTATTTTCAGTGCATTTAAAAGCCTAATTTTTAAAAGAAACGTTTTACTTTTTTTTTCTTTAAAGTAATTTGTTTCGAAACAGGCTGACATCACTTAGGCTACGACTAATGCATGTTTTCTTTAACACCAGATCAGCTTCATGCAATCTCTAAAAATTAGTCATCTGCCACTTTGTAACCTTCAGTGGCAACCAGAGTTTCTTCCATGCATCTTGTCAAATGGGGATGGGGTCATGCTCCCCCGAAGAAAGTCTCCCCTCCCCCGAAGAAAATAGAATTTATACAGAAAAATATATACTTTTACCAGTGTTCCCCTGGAAAATTAAGACCACCCCACCCACCAAAAAATAGTCTGAAAGAAACACTGGTGGCAAGTAATTATCAGTTGTAAACTGTTCTTATTTGTAAACAGTGAAGTCGAGTATTCTGTTGAGATTATTTATGTCTTTGTCTCCCTTTTGTTACTAAATTTAGAAATTTTAAAATTCAATTTAAATCTAATTAGATTAAATTAAGATATCATTGCAATATCAATGAATTAGAACAAATATGGAATGTTTGAATAAACATTTGAGGTGGGTTTAAAAATTGAGCAATAAGATTTGCGAAAAACCAAAAACAAATGGATTTTGCGAATGATATAAATGCTCATTAAAATAAATGTACGATACACTGAAACATAAAGGTATATAAGTAGTCCTTAAATGTCATTCAAGACTATCAAAGTCTTCTCTACTTTTTCTCCTTTTCAAATAGAATGTTATATAAATATATGTTTCTTAATTTTCTAATGGTGACAATTTTATTTTCACGAACTTTTTCCCCCGCTGAAGACACTATAATATAATAAATGAATTGTTGATAATTATCA